CTGTTCCATGTCTGATCCCCGCTAATGCACCTGAGAAAAGCAGCAAAAGTTGGCTCAACTTCTTCCAGGAGTCTGGACCTCCCTCCTTCCAGGCTCCTGGCTTTCGCTTGGCTCAAATCCTAGCTGTTGGAGTCATTTGGGGAGTGAACCAGTTGATGGAAAATCTCTGTCTCTCCTCTTATCTCTGTAGCTCTGCCTTTTAAGTAAATAAAAACAAATCTTAAAAGAATATGCAAACATCAGTAAAGAAAAAGTAAATTACTCAAGATAACGCAGTTAATAAGCGGTAGGACTGGAATAAGATGGCTGGAGAGGCTCTCCTCAATAAGTAACTGTTGTCAATGCATCAGGCCACAGCTGAGCAGGCAGCGATGCATTCTGATTATGTTTGAATAGCTAGGGTTGAACCAAGCTGCAGCTATGAGCCTATCACTAAAGTTGGAGTCTCCCACATCGGCAGCAGGGACCCAAGCACTTGAGCTATCACCTGCCACCACAAGCCATAAGCTGAAATCAGAAGTGCAGCTTGGACTTGAGCCAGGTACTCCACCTGGGATGTGTTTTACTGTGCTATTATTGTTTGTCCCTGCTTTCCCCCAAGGAACCTTAGAAACCAACTATTCCTTCAAACTCCCAATTCTCCCAAGTAGGGGATTAGAAAGTATCTAAAATGCCTTTGCACAGAATTAATAAGAATCGATCCAAGGTGGCCAACACAGGTAGGTGACCAGACTGTGGTTCCCAGATGGTCTTATCTTCATGCAAAATGTCCCTCAGTGGTGGTTGTGTGTGCTTTCTCTATCTTGGACACCTGCCTGGGCAGAGTGTCAGGAGCACAAGGCCCTTAGCCAGTCCTGTGGGACGTTTCCCATCATGCCTGTATGACAGCTAGAGCAGAGGCTGGCTGGACACTCGGCAGGGAGCCCAGAGGGATGCTAGGGCTTCAGGACATTTCCAAAGGAGCTGCCACTGGGGACTAATGTGAATCTAAGCCAATATTTGTAAAGTCATGTCCTCTGGACTCCAGGCAAATGTAATCATAGTCAAGTCCAGAAGACTGTCTCCAAGAAGTGTGGGAAGCTAAAGATGAATCATGGGTGAAGATTTCGCAGGTTGATCTTAGAGGGCATGTCTCTAGAGACCAGATCAAGAAAGGAAGGCAGGAAGTATTCCACTGAATTGGCTGTCCCATTTTCCTAGGAAACATTCAACTTAACGAAAAATAGTCACATTTTTACTGACAAGAACAGCTACCCTTTTTTCCCCCTTTCCACGGGCCAGGAAACTACACATTTGTCTCCATGTTCTTCCCAGTAACTCTGCAGAGCAGAAGTGGTCATTTTTATTTTACAGGTGAGGAAAATGAGGCTCAGAAAGGGCACATAGCTAGTAACTGTCAGTCAAGATTTGAACCTGAGTCTGATTTTTACATGGTGACACCACGCCTTCCATATTGTTGTTGGGACATGGGGATGGAAGAAGAAATATGTATTAGGTTTCATTCCCAGTTCTGGCTGAGATTCTCTGAATGGTGGGTGAGATTTGATTTTGGGCCACGATTTCTAGACCAAAAGGGTTTCTAGGAACCTGTAATCACTGGAGGGAGTGTCTTTTTGCATGTTAATAAGATGACTGGTGGACGTTTTCAAAATGTGGACTGTTCACTAGAAAGACCAAGACCTGACTGGAGGACTGGAACTTCCAGCCCCATCTGATTGGATCTAGAGACAGAATTAGTTGCTAACGACCAAATTGTTTGATCAGTCATGATGGGGTTGACCTTCCAGAAGAACCTAGAATGAGGAGTCTGGAGTGATTTCAGGCTGGTGAGCACACCTACATGCCAGGGTGGAGGCATTCTCACTCCTCGGAGACAGCAGCTCGTGCACTCAGAACTCTTTCATACTTTGTTATGTGTATCCCTGGCCAATGGGCTGGGTCCTCGAGTTTGGGAAGAGTGGGAAGGACCATGTAGTCCATGAAGAAAGGTGATCTCTGAGACCCTAGACAAGGCATCAAACTTCCTAAGACTTAATTTCCTCAACTTCACAATGATTTATTATCAGTATCTGCTTATAGGACTACTGAGAGGATTTCAAGTTCAGAGACAGGAAAGTACCTGACACTGAGTACGGCAGCATTCTTACTAACTTGTTGAAAATGATGAGGTTAGTCACACAGAGTAAAACAGCAAAGAAACAAAATACCATCATGGGCTGAGTGTTTGTGTTCTCCTGAAATCATATGCTGAAATTACAATTCCTGTTATGACAGTAACAGGAGGGGGGCCTTTGGGGAGGTAATTTCTGGACGGACCCTTATTAATGGGATTAAAGCCCTTATAACAGGATACCAGAGTGCTTTCCCGATCCTCTTTCCACCATAGGAGGATGGAGCGAGAGGCTGCAGAAGAGAGTCCTTTCTGGAGCCTGACAGTTCTGGGAACGTCAGATTTCATAGCCTCCAGAACTGTAAGAAACACATTTGTTGCTTATAAGCCACCCAGTCTATGGTATAAAGGGACTTCAAAAGTCTGTGAAAAAATTGAAATAAAAGTTTCTTGATGTGAAAGAGCTTTTAAATTCCTACATAATTTTTTTTTAATAACATGTGTTTTCCATGAACTTTTTAGACTGCTCCTATTCTGTTAAAGCAGCCTGAGATAAGACAGTCACGAAACTAGGAGGAATTCCTTGGGAAAATGAGTAATACTGTCCCCAAAGAGTTGCTCTAGTTCTGAGCTGTTCTGCATTCTTTCCTGAGTAGACACGTGTGGCTTTTATAACACTGGGACACACACCTGAGAGACAGAGGCTCTGGTGCTGGTAGTTTGTAGTTGTGCTCCCATTGCTGTTTATTCAGCAACAAGCTCAGTGGAGAACAGGTTTCAAGTGATGAGGCTCAAAGTCCTAATTTACTGCTACTGTTCAGAGCAGGCAGCCACAAAACCATGGACTCTCCCCTAGGCTGACACTTGCCTCTCGCACCCAAAGCCTCTCCTGGCAAAGTGAGTCACACACATCAGTCACTCCAAGTCCTAGATGCTTTTCTGTTGATATCATTATGCCTTGCCGGCCTCTATATGGATTCTTCGGGGTGGAGAGAGAGCCTTGTCTCCTTCAGGAAGTTCTCACTACTGACTGTCAGTGAATTAGTTCCCAGTGAAGACTCTGATGGCTTACAATAGAATACAGACCTCTGTAAGGGTTGAGATTTTTCAGTTGTTTAGTTCATTACTGTATCTTAAGGCCTGGAACGGCGACATGTCAATGAACGGATGCCTATCACATTCAGGATTGTCCAGCATGTGCCTTTTACCTGAAGCACATGGAAACAACTGCCACGGAGCTTCCACCACTGCTCCCTAAGACAATGGCTGGGTGGGACCTTCCTGCCACAACTTTGTTTTAGACTCTCCACCTGTCACATCAGCTGGTAGTGCTACCACTAGGCCTCTGACAGTTCCCTTTCGAGAAATTTGACCTTTTCCCTCTTCCAGATGGAAGAGAAGGTCATTTGCTGCACGGCACTGAGCATGACGGCCATGCACACCGAGTACACAACTTGTTCCTTTTGTGCTCACTCTACCAGAAGTGATGATGTTACAGCCAGGCGTGTGCATGCAAGTCAGGGAAGAGGCAAGGAAATCAAAACCCTGAGACATTAAGCAAGTAGCTCAAGGACACAGAACTAGACCTGGCCTCTTACCACAGCTCTTTGTATAGCATTTGCTCAGATCCTTTCTCTGCTTTGTCCCAGTCAGAGGGCTTACATTAATTTACAAAAACATTCCTATGAGCCTGGATTTTCTTTTTACAATTTGTGAGCACAAAATACACCTACTGGCACATATATAGTGCACATTACATACAGTGTACATTACACATACATAGATGTGTGTGTGCTTGTGTGTTTATATCTTATCACAGATGACATTATCAAAATAGAAACTGTTCTACAGTCCCAAATATATTTACTGCAGAAGTTAGGTACATGTTCAATCCCTTTTATTTTATGCCTTTTTAATAGCTGTAACTGAAGGGGAAAGACCAAAATACAGAGAAAGGGTAAATGTGTATCATTTGCAAAAGCACATTCAATACAATAATTGCTTTGGCTTTTTTTTTTTTATAAGGCCTAATACTGAATGTGCCTGGAAATTTTTAGCAGCAAAGGGAGGCATTCCAGTTTTGTGTCTGTCAAAATTTAAAAAAAAAAAAATTAGGGAATAACGTTCAGGACTTCCAGCACATTACAGCTTTGGAAATGGTGTGGTCCAGCTCCCTGTTGAACATAAAGAAACTTTCACCCAGAGAGGTTAAGTGACTTCTTGTCTGAGGTCAAAGAGCTGTTCATTTGTCCCTGAAGGGAATGGCCCTGGGAACTTTATCTGTTGTTCTATCTGTGGCACCAGCATTGAATGGAGACCATGGGAAAGAATCTGCTATACCAAGAATATTAAGATACTCAGGAAAAGCAAGTTTGCAAATACACCTGGAGTTTTAAACAAAGGACATTCTTGAAAGAGGCTATATGGAGATTGACATTTTCCTTATACGCCATTTCCTTTTGGGGAGCATCCAGTGACCAAGGTGCCAGGCTGCCCTTGGCTCCAGTTTAAGCTTGGTGTAAATCCTGGGAGACCCCCTCTAGGCCCTTTTCCAGGGTACCCAAATGTCAGGTTATAGGAGAGCTTCCCTCAGGCTACCACCCTCTCTTGCTGTTGGTCATGTGCAGGGCTACCACCAGGATGACTTCAGTCTGGTCCCATCATACGGAAGCATGTTGCAGGGTGTTTCTCTCATTTGTTCTGGCAAGATCAAGTGTTTCAGCAAGGACTATAGCTCTTACAAACAGAGGCTCTGCAAACAGAGGCTGCAGCCTCAGAAGGAGCCTGGAGTTAAGCCAGACGCTGAGCCAGACCCTAGGGGAGCCCAGGGACAGGTGAGGATGCCCGAAGACAGGTGCCAACATGGTGGCTGGTGCAGGAGTCCACTTACCGCAGTGCGACTGGAAAACCTGAGGCTTGACCACCTGGTTGCAGGCGCTGCACACCACGAGGTAGAAGTCGTCATGTGCGGGATAATGGCCAAATAAGTGCATATCTGTGAGGGAAAGGAAAACAGTGGGTTTTGAAAAAAAAAAAAAAAGAACAATTAAGTCTCAGAAGGTGTGACAGTCTCCTCTTGGAAGTTCTTCAAGGGCAGTTTTTCAAACGAGACATGCAGAAAGGCAACTATGTTTACCGAAGGGAATGCAGTTTGTCAGAGCACAGCTCCCCAAACTCTGAGAAGCAACTGCCTCAGAAGACTTCCTCTTCATGTTCCTCATCAAGGGACTGCGACTGCTGCTGATAAACCTGGTTTGGGTCATGTGCTTTGGGAATTTTCCCAGGTGTTAACATGATGCTCATTTATTTCATGACAGGTTGCAGGGAGGAGGTATCTCCCAAACCCATTCCTATTTCAGCAGTGGTCCATCTAGTGGGTGGAGATAGAACAAAGAGAGTTCTCTTGGCTCCAGGACCCCAATGACTGAGGAAGACACCAAAGCCAGAGGACTCCACAGAAAACGGTCTGCTATTCTTATCCATCTGGTTAATATTTACTGAGTGCCTAAGGGTGCCTGACACTGTGCCAGGTGTAAAGAGGAACTAGGGGAACAAGAGTGAGGTTCTTGGGCCCCTGGAGTTTATGGTGACAGAGGAGAGGCACATAAAGCAGACGATCATGATAATCATTGTGATTGTGATGGTGACAAGTGCAAAGGAGAGAATATATGGGGCTCTGCATTGTTGTGACAGATGCACCTAACCTAATGAGAGGCATTGGAGGGTGCCTAAGGTCAAGGCCTTAGAGAAACAAAGGCAAGAGGTGGTTAGAATTTTGACCAGAGAAGGAGAGTCTGGGCCCCTGGAGGAACCTCATGGATGAAACAGAACAAAGGAAAAGTGGTGTGTGATGAGTGTGGCAGAGCCCAGAAGGTATAAGCTGCATAGATCAAGGGAAGGACTTTGAATCTGATTTTAGGAAAACAAGGGAAAACCACTGAGAGTTTCTGGGTAAAGTGGTGAGATGGCCACGCAGGTGTTGCTAAGACATCAGTTATGTGCCACATATTTCAGAGGGCTGTGCAACAATCTTGTCTGTCAAAATTCACAGTAGCACCACTCACGACAGTTTCAAAGTGAAACAACCCAAACACCCATGAGTAGGAGGATGCTATTCAACCACAAGACAGAACTGAGAACTGATCCATACCATCATGTGGACAGACCCTGGAAATATCACACTGGGTGACAAGAGGTAGGGACCTTGATCTGCTTGTAAGCCAACTGGTTCCAAGTGAGTTGCTTGGGCTCTGAGATCAGGGTGCTTAAAACCAGAGCCAGGACTGAGAGAGGAGACAACCGCGTTGTGGTAAGAAGGCACCTCTCATGAACCTGCCAAACTGCCTTGGGTTGGGTGAAAAGGTTCCTCGATTCTTCCTGAGGCCTCACATGCTAGACTGATCCAGCATGCTTCATAAAACCACACCACCCCAAGGTTCATCAACTGGGAATTGAGGCCAGCAGGAACAGTTGAGGTCTTTACAGTGTGGGGAGGGCTCAATTAGAACTCAGCAAAAGTTCTGGGGGTGGCCTCCACGTGCTCCCTTCTGGGAGTAGCCAGCCACTTTGAGGGAAGTGGAAATGGCATATTGGTAAGGAGTGGGAAGATCCCCTCCTCTCCCGGGAACCAACCTGGGCCTGGGCTGGGAAGAGCTGAGGACACAGGCTGTGCTGAGTTTCTCTCTTGTTGGCAGCCCAGGGGAGGCACAGACTATCTTTTTCCCTGGAGGACTCACATCTCTCTTATGGTTCTGGGGAAGACTAGCACACACTGATTTGCTGGGGTACTCAGAGGTTGGCAGGCAGGCAGGAACGCAGCTCACAGCAGGTAAACTGTGGCCTCCCACACATTAACTGCTGATTCTTGCCTTACTTCCCAGGCTCTTGGCTTTATAGCATAATCTATGTTTTTTAAAATAAAAAACATGATCCATGTTTTTAAAAGATACATTTGAAAAAATATAAAAAGCCAGAAGAAATTAGCAATAACATTACTAGTAGGCTTTGTAAGCAACTTGTATGTGATTTGGATTTAGCTGTATTTTCTATCTACTAATAGGTAAAAAACAAGATGCTAGCAGGAGCTCATTCATTATTTATCAAACACCTAGTGAGCTGCTTTATATCCTTTCTGAAATCGGTGAAGCTTTGAAGGGTTAAAGAAATCCATAGATGTTTAAAAAAAAAAAACTAAAAAATCAAGCATTAACAACAATTTCTTGAACACCTGCTCTTGTGCCAGAAATCGCGCTGAGTGCAGGTGGGAAGCTGAGAACAGACACAGCAGGATAAAAGAATGTGAACATTATGGTCATTGCTGGATGGTCTGTCAGAGGCCTTTCAGTGCATCTGTTGGTGTGCCTACTGTTCTGTATTCCTCCTGAGATCTGTAGGGTCCACCCCAGGCATGTGTGCACCTGTTACATTCTTCACTGAGTTGATGGTAAAGGTTAAGCTAGTCAGAGACTGTGGCAACATGGGGCTGTGTTCCCTTCAAGGCCCTTCACTCACTGGGACTTTTCTTGGGTTGCCTCCAGGGCAGCTTCAACCTTGCACACATCTGCTCAGCACATGATTTTTGGGGAAGGTGAGAGAGCCCACTTGCATGCTTGAATATGCGTCAGAGAACTGACCTTAGAATCTCCTCTATGGCCCTCAGAGTCTGAGAGCACAGGAGGTAGGGAGCAAGGTAAAGGAATTCGGCCCCTGGAAGACCCACTTCACACAGCTGTATGTTTATGGTCACGTGCTGTTTGACTGGGTTCACAAGGGCTGGGGGATGAGGTCAGGAAGACAGGAAGAGATGAAAACTAGAATGCCAGGCGCAGTGAAAGATACTCTGTTCTCTCTATTCATTTACCCTTTAAGTAAAACATCCAGTCTACAATCACAAAAATAAAAACAGTGTGTGCTGAAGTAGATTTGTTACAGCTAGCGGGAGCCCAACTGTACACACATCCCTGCCCACTCCACATGCTGGCACGGGGATGCACTTGATGTGCACTTGGGATGTTTACGCATGGATATGAACAAACGCTACAGACTGCTTCATTTTTTTGGGGTAGGCTAGTTGTTAAACACTGACCAGCACACTGAATAAAGACAAGCAAAAAAAAAAAAAAAGAAAAGAAAGAAAGAAAGAAAAAGAAAAGAGAGAGAGAGAGAAGAAAATAATGAGAATGCTTCTACCTAGTGACAACCACAGCTGACACGTTAGGATATATCCTCCTCAACTTGGGGATGTGGTAGCATTACCTTAGTTACTGTCTATAATTAACTGTGAGGCTGTCAGTATGTCCAGCTTATAGAGAAGGGAACGAAGGAAAAGTGATAAGCTTGAGATCCCATGGCAGTGGTTGTATAGTAGGAAACTCTGACTTTACAGTCAGTATTCTTCAGCAAAGGGCTGCTTCTTTAACAATAGGACAAGATCCCACTTTTCAGGTGAAGAAATCAGTATGGAAGGTACTATGGTGTAAACACGGTTTATCCCCTCTTGGGCTCACACTGAAATTTGCCACCACATGGGCAGTACTGGAGAGTGGGACCTTTAAAAGGAGATTATGTTTTAAGAGGGATTATTGTTTTCATTGTTATTACCAGTGCTTTCTTCCCCAGGGTGGAGTGGGTTTGCTCCTGTGCTGCGGAGCACAGGTTGCCAACATGAGCCTGCCTCTCATGCGCTCCCTTGGCTTCACATACCCACTAGTGTACCACTGGTCCACCACGTTAAGACGGAACACAGGCCCTCACCAGATGTGGCTGCTGGATCTCAGACTGCCAGTCTGCAGAATTGTGAGCCAAAACAAACTTCCCTTTTGATAAATTATCCAGTCCTGGCCATTCTGTAACTGCTACAGAAAATGGACTAAAACACGAGGGCTGCTGAGCTTACTCATGGGCTATCCTAAGGCTCGGAGGGCACCATGTGAGCATGGGCTACAGGCCTTGGGTCAGAGGGCAGGAATGGAGCATTGTGCTCTCTGGCTGTGGCATGCCACACACAGTGCCAGCTTTTCTCAGCATGAGTGTTCCCATCTATAAACTGGGACTAACACCCCCTAATGGAGTTGCCACGGTGGTTTCCACAAGTTGTCTGCCTTGGGTCTTTTACCAGGAACATTCCAGAAGACAGTCTAGAGAAGGCTTTAATCAAAGCCATCACCTTTTTTCAAAACTAACTAGTTATCAGCAATGGAGAGTCTCTGAATCAGGAGATAGGTTCTCTCATGACCATTCTACAATAGATCTCCTGGGAAGGCTGATCTGCACAACGCCATGTATGTGTGACCCCATTCATGGCATGCATGGGGACACACCAGGACTCTTGGATGTGAATAAAACATTTACTTAAGAAATTTTTTTCCCAGTTTCAAACACAATGCACAATCATTTCCCAGAAAGACGAAGCCAAACCTGTAGGTTTTGGCCCATTTTACTTATACAAATGCACAATTGTAGAGCGCGGGGCAGGGGAGTGGGTGGGGGGGTGGGTTGGGACCTTAGTCAGCCTACAAGCCTCATCACAGGCAGGGAGGGAAAGGCCTCTTTCGTGCCATTTGGCAAATGGAGACACAGTGCATTTGCTTCTGGGTCAGTATGCTTTAGTTTTTGATCCAGACCCAAGTTATGTATGTATGTATATGTGCACCTACCTACCTATCTACATATCATCCATCAAATTCATCCATCCATCTACCCACCCACTCACCCACCTACCCATCCATCCATCCACCCACCCATCTACCCACCCAACCAACCACCCACCCATCCATCTACCCACCTACCCACCCAACCAACCACCCACCCATCCATCCACCCATCCACTCATCCATCCATCCATCCATCCATCCACTCACTCACCATCATCCATACATACATCATCTATCATTGAAGTCAGTAGGATATATCCTGTTATCTGTTCTGTCTTACTCATCTTAGCTTTACTTTATGTCATTTTTTAAAAGCCCAATTAAGCTTCCAAAATTAATTTTA